TAATCTATAGATTGTGACCCTATCTATAAGGTTTTGTTTATTCAGACCTACCTATTAACACTGTACATAATGTTTGGAGACCAGGATAAGTCAACACAATGTAATCTACAGATCGTGACCCTATAAGATTCTGTTTATTCAGACCTACCTATTAACATTGTACATAATGTTTAGAGAAAAGATAAGTCAACACTGTAATCTACAGATCATGACCCTACAAGGTTCTGTTTATTGAGATCTACCTATTAACACTGTACATAAAGTTTGAAGACAGGATAAGTCAACACAATATAATCTACAGATCGTGACCCTACAAGGTTCTGTTTATTCAGACTTACCTATTAACATTGTACATAATGTTTAGAGATAGTACAAGTCAACACTGTAATTAACAGATCGTGACCCTACAAGGTTCTGTTTATTCAGACCTACCTATTAACATTGTCCATAATGTTTGGAGATAGGACAAGTCAACACAATGTAATCTACAGATCGTGACCCTACAAGGTTCTGTTTATTCAGACTTACCTATTAACATTGTACAAAACATCTGGAGACAGAGAGTGTAATCTATAGATTGTGACCCTATCTATAAGGTTTTGTTTATTCAAACCTACCTATTAACATTTCATACATGATGACACCCAGTGACCACCAATCACAGGAACTATTATACCCTGCTCTAGTGAACACTTCAGGTGCAATGTAGTCAGGTGTCCCTACAGTAGAATAGGCCTAGAACACACAAACAAAAACCTATAAATTTTACAGTTACATTATAACACAAAATAAATAACAATACCACAACATAATAGCACAGGAAAAAAGTACTACACAGAAATTAGGAAACCATGATTTTTCAAGAAGTCATTATGTTGTAAAACAATCAATTGAAAATGAAGAAGTTAAAAATAAACTGACAATACTGCTAGAAATATAAAGCTTTAAAGGTTTACATCCTATTAAACTGTTATAACTGGAACAAAATGAGTAATATGGTAGCCATTACACTAACTGAAATCATGTTCATAATAAGATTTAAATTTAAAGTTGTACTTGTCAACTTGGATAAGCCTATTTAAAGTACAATGATACATCATTTCAAAACCAGAGCCACCTTTTTTGTTAATGAAGTATACTTTCAATTTGCTAATTTATAGTAACATGCAAGCCAGCTCCAGATGTTGATATCTTGTAATTTTGTTTTCATGTAAAAGTTTGACCTTCAAGTATTTAAAGATGATAAAACCAGAAGTAAAAAACTCATACTCACTAACTGTCTTCGATTTCTTTTCCAACTTTCTGCTTTTCTTCTAGAATTCATTGGATTTGAGGCTAATAAATTTGAATACAATAGAATATGAGACACAGAAAAGTGTCAATTTCTCCATCGATATTGTGAATAATTAAAATAGAGAGATTCACTAGATATAAACATAGAGATCTAAAGATTTTATGCCTGGATTAGAACAGCAAGGCATCATGTAGTTAAATTTAGGTTTACTTTACTTCTACATGGGTTTAACCCTAACAGAGACTAAAAGGTGTCAGATAATTAACCATAATTATTTGATAGTAATAAAACTACTGTTTTTACTCTACTTGGCAGAGACTAAAATATATATATTTCAACCAGTCCCACGATTCAGTAAATTATTTAATTGTCTAACTATATTTTAATACTTACACAAAGACATTTATAGATTATTCTTGTTTCAGTAAATTATTTAATTGTCTAACTATACTTTAATACTTACACAAAGACATTTATAGATTATTCTTGTTTCAGTAAATGATTTAATTGTCTAACTATACTTTAATACTTACACAAAGACATTTATAGATTATTCTTGTTTCAGTAAATGATTTAATTGTCTAACTATACTTTAATACTTACACAAAGACATTTATAGATTATTCTCGTTTCAGTAAATGATTTAATTGTCTAACTATACTTTAATACTTACACACGGACATTTATAGATTATTCTTGTTTAATGTTAAGAACACAATTATAATTTAAAAACAAAATATAACAAAAAGCCAGGAACTTGTAACACATATGGAAATGTTAGACATTTTATCTTTACTTTCATCAAATGTCTTCCTCATGTTTCTTCCAGAATTTTTTGATGGATTTACAAATATTTCAAGGTGCAAGAAAGAACTTAGAAAGGTAAAACAAAACTACTGGTAATATATTTACATTGTTATCATTTCTCTTAGAATCCCACAAATTCACTTTTCCCCTTTGCCAAAAATTACTGTCAGGTTTTCATAGGGGCTGATTCCTTACAGTAAGTGTCTGTGACTTGTTGGTGATAAATTTCAACAATAAACAGACAGCCCAAAATCCACTTGTTTTAAAATAATATTTTCAAAACAAGCCAAAGGTATGTACAAAAAAATTCTTTACACTATAGGTTATCACAGTTGTATTTAGAGCTTCAATTACTTTAGAACACCCTTTGACAAGATGAATTATTCTCCTTTACCCTGTTATTCCAATACAATCTGCAATTATTACACTTTAAAAGTTGCCACTATACACTCTTTATAAGCTAAACTTACAAACACAGTCTAGATCTATTTGATTATATCTCTCACTAACTTCGTCTTACTTTCTCTTTCACTAACTTACTTGCTTCTACAAACTTGGTGTCCTATATATAATGTTACTGAGGCCTATAACTTTCCGTAAACTATTAGACATTATGATGTAACAGTATACATTTAATGTAACAAGAAAAATTCCCGAATGTTCGAGTAACATGACGTCAATTCACAACAATTGAACTACGCCACAAATGATTCGTAAACAGTTATGTAAGCAAACTAGCCATAAATATCACTTTTAAAAATACTCAATTCAACACCCATGCTTTATAACTATCTAAGTTATAACTCTTGTATTAAATTTAAATGAAACAGTCAAGTATATCTAGCAATTAGCTACAAGGAATTGCCCTTGCAGACACCACTCCTATCAAAATATTAATAATATACTTTCAGGTTAACTTGCTAACTCTACAGTAAAATATTAATTTAAAATATGGTCAAATGAATAATGTATGGTTACCAGATTATTTAGGAGCAAGTGGAGTAAAGTGGCCAAAAACTTACAGAAATCAAGTGGTTTGGCTTGAGAGAGGTTCCTATAGAACTCAGTTCTATGAGATTTCTTTAGACCTGTACACAACCCAAAGTCGGAGAGTTTGACATGGCCCTGATTAAAACCCAAACAGAAACTGCTTAACAGTCAATATTTCAGTGCTTATAAACTCAAAACATCTGAGAAAACTTAATATTTTACAAATAGCACAATAATAACAACAATTAATAGTTTTGAAAAAAAAACAAAAAAACTTTCAATCTGCCATGGAATCTAACTACATTTTATTTTGGAAAATACATAAGCAAATTTATTTCAGATGAGAGAACAAACTAATGATTCAAACATACTGATCATATCAGTGTGACATATTTTTTAGGCTTTATATAATCATAAACTAAGTACTTATGTATAATTTTTAAACCACACTAGCCACAAAACTGACCAAGAAAAAAGTTATCTTAATACCCAGTCTACGAGTAAAGGAGACAAGTTTAGTGGGTTGATTCCCAAACAAAGTTCTTCAGTGCTCTCTTTTTTTAAATTCTGAATAGAGATTTAAACACCTTGTGAGATGTGGAATCTGAATTGCCCATCAATGTGGTTAAATTTGCACTAGTTTTAAGGCTATAAGGAAGGAAGTAAAATCCATACCCCCCATCTAAAATACAGTATCAACCATACAGATTGGGCAATACAAGACCTGGCTTCTTAATTCTACAAAGCTATTTTATTTGCAGCTTTTTCAAGTTCTATAAACAGAGATGGCCAAAGAAAGTTCAATGCAGCTTATTTACCACTGTAAGTTGTCTAAGTACAGTACCTGCCCAAACATGAACACTTATATTATTTTATCCATGAGTAACAGATTTTAGCCAAACCCCTGAACTCTGCATCTTCATGGCTAGACACTATTGACAGATGAATTCTTTTGGCAGTAAAGTGTAGATTTCTTTTGGGTAAGCAGATTGAGCTCTTTATTAGAGCATATTTTGTTTTAGTTTTAACTTGTAGATTTCTTTCGGGTAAGCAGATTGAGCTCTTTATTAGAGCATATTTTTTTTAGTTTTAACTTGTAAACTGGAAACCATGACACCCTTCTGTAGCCCACTTAATCCCCCAAATTTGGTCTCATTGATTCATAGGCTGGGTGTTAAATGTTTTAAATTTTTTCCCCATTTTATTTTTCAAGCACAAAAATTCTACCTTGGCATCCAGCAATAAGTTATCTGGTTTGATGTCTCTGTGAATGAAACCTAGTTTATGGATGTAATCAATGGCTAATGCTGTTTCTGCTACATAAAACTGAGTACATTCTTCTGTTAACGTGTCCTTCTTCATTAATAAGGTCATCATATCTCCTGAAATTACAACATGTACTTCAGAACAATAATTAACCTTGACTTTAGCATGTAAATGGCTTTCTTTGATATTACAGATAAAACAAACCTCCACAGCTGTAAAGCCAAATATTTATTTAAAAAATATAATTGTGTTATTTTGAGAAATAGAATAAAAATAAATTCAAATAACATTTTAAATTCTTTGGTTCAGATGTTAAACATCTATCCAAACTGGTATACCTTCTTCGGGTATAACACAACCATATTCAGAGCTTACAATAAACAAAACTTTTGTAGAATCAAGGCAATAAATAATGAATTTAAGAATTAAGTATACTTTTGTTTCATAAATTAAACAAATTCAGCCTTCTCTTATATTTTAGAAAAATCTACAAAAGATAAAAATCTCATCTCTTATCAAGACATTTTACATATACATATGTCTGACTATTTCAAGGAAAGAATCTGATCTTAGTTTTTCCCAATATCTGGAGAAATTCTATTAGATTAGTCAGTGATGTTAATGTTTTTAATTCTAAATGTAAAAAAGCAACAACTTTTTTGATATTCCTAATTTCAAAATTTCAGATAAACTAGCAGGTAAAGTGTAATACAACTCTAGGAGAGGTCATGGTATATCAATAAAATGGGGAACATACTGTAGAAAAGGGAAGTTCAATCTAAACTCAGAGTATAACAATATCTGTGATCTGTTTGTACCAACTTTGTTGTTTTTTTTGCTTAACTTTTACAATCTTATTGACACACTAATCTATAAATAGCAATAAAAGTTCACAAAGAAACAATGTTTCTCTATGATAGTTATCAATTTTAAGCACTGCATCTTTAAAACAATTTTATTATTTTGGTACAGAATGGGTGTAGTTTGCGAGTCCCATAAATAATTTTATTCAATTTCTTTTCTGGGTGAACAAACTAACTTCTCTATTTGTGAAGCTGTTACATTATAAAATGTTTAGATAAACACAAAAAACTGCTCTACATTCTATAGTTATATACTATTAAAATCCTTAAAAAATACCCTTCAAGTAAATCTAAGTAGAACAACATTAAATGGTTTTAAACAAAATGTTCACAGTGTCAAAAAATTAAAATTCTACAAAAAGGGGGTTACTGTTTCAAAACACTTTACCTCCAGGTAGAAACTCCATTATGAGATAGAGATTAAAAACATCTTGAAAACTGTAATACATCTTCACAACCCATTGATAGTCTGCTTGTACCAAAATGTCACGCTCTGCTCGTACATGAGCCACCTATAAAACAGATCAAAACAAAAAAACTTATTTTTGCTACTACAAATAAAATAAGAAAATTTTAATGATTTCATAAACTTCATTTTCAGAGAAAGAAAAAATTCTAATTTGGACAAACAAATCATATTTTACACACAAATATAAAACAAAAAGAATCTTTAAAATGGTTTATAACAAAAATTCATTAGATGGCAGCCATATATTTTTACACAAGAAAACCAACAATTAAAATATATTTTTCCACATCTGATGTTAATGAAAACAGAACCTCTAGCACAACAATCTGCTATATGACAATATGTAAAAACAAACTTTGTTATCCTTTGCAATATCTATCTCTCCACAAAGAACAACAAAGCATTGCATGTGTCATAAAAAAAGCAATGGATAAAACTTTTCTTAAACAAGTAAAACAAACACATGTTGAGGAGTAACATAAAGTTGTTGTTTGTAGAATTTTGTGCAAAGTTACTTGAGGGTTATCTCTTCTGACTAACCCTGATTTTCAAGTGACAGACTAGTGGGAAAACAGCTTGTAAACATCACCTATCTCCAGCTCTTGGACTACTCTTATTGAATAGCTAGATTTGACTGTCACTCTTATAGCTCACCCATAGTTTCAAAGTTTGGAGATAAAGTTTTTAAGGCAGTAACAAGGCACAAACCATAGAACCTCGGATCCACAGTCCACCACGCTAACCACATAAAGATTAAAAAAAGGTGTTTAGTACTGCTATGATGGAAATATTTATTTGAAGGTTGTAAATTAGAAGAAAGTAAAACAATTAATACATTGTTTTACAATTGTTTAATTAACATAGTTTTAGCAACTTAAAAATATGTATCTATAGGTTAAAAACATAATTTTACCTGTTCTTTCTCTAACATATCTACTTTCCTTAGAATTTTCATAGCATAAACATGCCCTGTATCTTTTTTTTGTACAAGACGTACTTCTCCAAAGGCACCCCGACCAATCACCTTCAAAGGTTCAAAATCTTCAACACCAAGTCGAGATCTCTTCAGTCTAAGAAATTCAGACTCCTTCGTAGCATGTTTTATTCTCTTTTCATTTTTCTAAAAATATTATACACAAGAAAAAAATATGCATATTTTGAATAAACCATTTACCTTCCTATCACCTGAACTAATTTGTTTTAAGACATCCAGGTTTAGCTATTTTTCCAAATAGCAATAAAAACAAAATTTGAATTGTTCACACAAAAACTAGGTATAACTGGATTTTAATAAAGTTTAGCAAGAAAAAATAAAATATTTCCATTTCTTCTGTAAGCCAGCAGGAAAAAGCAATTAGAAAAGTTAATAGACTGAAATTTGTCAAATTCACTAAGTTCTGTAATTTCTTACTTGGAGACACAGGAAATAACAGTCAAATATTAAAAAAACCAGTTCAAAGAATAAAAAAAGTAACAGCTTATTATACTTGACTGATTTATATTATATTTAACCAACCTCTTTCTCTGAAAGTCCTTCTTCATTCATTGACTCCTCTAGCTTTACTTGTCTAGAAAAATAAAACAAATTGTTACTCCTTTACAGTTTCTCCAAGCAAGATAACCCAAAGATCAAAATATTTCAAGAAAAAAGTGAGGCAAACCAATATCAATCTAAAACTTTCTTGGGAAGAACAAACTGTTGCTTGCATAAGTATAATTGTTTGTTTCTCAAATTTCTGCATTAGCCAACCTTAATTTTGACAGTGATTTATAACTCATCCACAGCTGTATATGAATATAAAGACACTTCAATCTTATCATTGTAAAATTATCACTTCAAGGTGTCACTATCAAACAATTTTTAAGGTATACCAAATAATGACAAAGACTCCATGTTCTACAAAGTATAAATGTACTGAAAGTTAAAAAAGGTTTATTAAATCAAATTCAACATATTCTGAGAACTTAAACTTGAAACTTTTTTCCTTTAATGAAATAAAACATTGTACGTATTTACAATCATTCAAGGAACTTAAACTGAATTAAAATTCAGAAGAAGTCATTTAACAAGTTTCAAGGCTGAAATGAATAGATTCAAGTGAACATAAGGAGGAAAGAGTCAGAAAAAAAATGTCTACAACTTGTATTAACCTAACAATGTTTCTTGTAACATTTATAATAGATGGTTACATTCAATTAATAAAAGAAAATTAGTAACATTCACCATTATTCTTTTAATTTATAGGTTGAGTAGAAAAGTAATTTTGGACTTTGTCCAACTTATTTAGTTAATAAACTTGTGGAATTGAAAGAAAGATGAGTTATGCATTTAAATAAAGTTAAATCTTGGTAAAAGAAGGTGGCAACAATTTTCTTCTTTACAGTTTTGGTTCACATTACCTCATACAAAGCACTAGTTTTCTTAAATTATGATATTTTTAATACATGTTTGAATGGTGCTGCTTTCTCTAGTTTTTCTTTTTTTCCTCTTAGAATAACAGTATTCACTGTCCAGAAAAGTAATTTCTTGATGTATCTAAAGCTATGATATAGTTTAAGAAGAGACTAATTTTTCTTTTACCAAAAGTCTTGCACAGTCTTTTAATAGGTAGTATATACATTTTTTTGTTTTTTTTATAACAAAGAAAACAGTTTTCCAAATTTAGAGAGTCTATGAGTATCAAAAGTTTAACAATCTATATTAAAACTACAATGCAAACACAGATTGTATCATCCTCACTAATTTTATAAATACACTAAGGACAGTTGCTGTTAGTTGGTTTATTTTAGCTTGAGTTTATAACCTAATGATCACTAGACTAAGAGACAACGCTAAACATAACTGAAAAAAGTTCTCTAAGCAGAATAAAAACAGCATGGTGGCACGTTGAAAGCTCATGCAAAAAAATGTCAAGCGTATTAAAGTTTATCCAGGAATTTTTCATTCTAAAGAAAATTGCATCAGCATGTTTTTGAATAACACTATAAATCACTAGCTTCATACATATTTCTTCCTGATTCAGACTAAGGAACTAAGTTGTTGTTTTTTCCACAATGCTGTCAAAAGAAAGAATTGAAAAAGAAAAAACATGGCTAAGAACTGAGAGAAACAAATTATGGAGCCAGCCTGTTTACTTTACAACATGCTGGAATAACCCAATACTCAATACTTAGCAGTTACAGACAAAAAACAGACACCGGTAATTCTCAACATAATTCAAATATATTTACCAACAGCATAATTCCCATGAATAACATCAAATACGATGACTACTTACGCTGTATAGAAGTACAACTTAGCACATCTTCTCCAAGTTTGTGTGCCTTCAACTACTTACCTTGAGCATGAATTTATAGGGAGACAAATCAAATTTTTTAAAATGAATGTATTATAACTGTGTAAATTTTCAATCTCATACACTTGATGGCTAATGTATGTTACTGTACACCATCCTTCATGTCTAGATCAGTAATTAAACCAAAATGTAGTTACACAATTTCTGCTCCATTTTCTATACAGTGATATCTTAAATTAAATGTATATACATGTATTCTTATTGACCATTTTCAGAATTAAACCGTTATAAACAACTATGTTTCACCTTTTATTCAAAATTTTAGCATTCATTAAATAAGCATTTTTCATGATTGCATAACTGTCATTAATATACATGGTTCATGTCAAAATGTTCCAAAGAAGTACATTTATATTTCCATTTAACAACATTTCAGTGTTTACCATCTCTTTTAATTTAGTCCACCATGAATTTGCAAAATTTTTTACACATTTGTTTCTAACCATGCGAGTAATTTTAACAATAGATCACTGAGCATGGAAGTAGCTTTATTCTTTTTTTCATAAGTAGAATATGCTATGTACAGATACACAGCAATCTTTTACATTGGCAGGTCAGGTGATACCTTGTGGTTATATCCTTCCTAATTTCTGCTGGAATTCCCAACAGTGAAACAGGTAGTGTGTGTGTGTGTACACTGAGAGGATTGGCATTACAAAATTTGGTATATGATGCTGTGCTTTATCAGTATGGGACAAGTTTTTATCTTAACATAGCAGAGTTTTGAAAGCAGCTCTCTCTAAAAATATCCATTATAAGCATAGATTGACTTCTTGTGCACTCATCATATTTTGACTACGGTTGCACTGAATAAAGATTATTTCACACCTATCTTAAATTGCATTCAGGCTCTTTCTTTCTTCAAACTCGGTCAAAGCCAGAGAAACTCAGTTTAACTCCATTTTATGACATTCCTCATGTTAATTGTGGTTATCTTGTCTGATTAGGAAAGCAGTGTATCTGTAATAACCAAACCTACATGAATACTAAATAATTAACATTCTTACATTTTGTTTGACTAAAAAACAAATCATAGTTTTTACTGTCATGAAAACAAGGCAGCACATTATATGCACATCTCTGTATTAGCTATTATTACATTTATATTGGAAATATACAAAGCACGTGTGTAGTTCATACCAACAAACCATGTTATGCTCAAGAATAAAGTTTACACTTACTTCAGTTCTGTTTTCATATTCCGAAATCTACAAATAGAACTTTATAAACATTTTTCTACACATTTCATTTCTAAGCATATGAATTCATGGGAGGCACTATCATTTAGAAAATTAGGTAAGCAAAATAACAATGTTCAAAATTCACATCACGCAAACTTTGTTTTTAACGCAAACAGGCATTATCTGTTCCAGTTACAGGTAGTTGAGTTTATTGTTCTACTTATATATTCCAAAGAAACCTATTCCCACGAAATTAATTAAAAAAACAAAACAACTGTTCTCATGACAATTTGTAGTGTGCCCAAGAAAAGGTCATCATACCGTTAGGAAAACGACGGGGCTGAACAATTAAAGTACACAATTCAAAAACTTCACGGATTAACGACAATAGGAACAGCTCCAAGAAGCAACGTTACACCATATGTCATAGGACAAAGAAGAAGAGTGAGAACAATGTCACGATAAGAGTTGCTATGAACTTTAGGTAACGCCCTTTGACGGTCAAAGGGTGAACGGCCGAAATTATCAAAGATCAGGGCAACCTTTCTATTACTCGTAACCAGAAAATGTGTGTAACTAATATTAGACTTCACTAGTTTCGTTCAAATTACAAATAAACAGTTCTTCTGTTCTATATTAAAAGTTATTCTGGTAAAGTATGATGAAGAGAAATAAATTTATTTGTTGAATCCGATTAAAGTAGGTAAACACAACTGGGCCTAACAAAAAAATATCAAACTTGTCAATCCTGATAATTAATGCTCTATTAGAACAATTCTGCTCTCACATTTAAGTTTTATTTTATCTTTTTTAAAGAGAAATCCTCTTTACGTAGCATTTTTGGTTAAGTATACAAAAAGGTCAATAGCAATGACAAAGTCGTGATCTCATATTTCATTGGTTGAATGATACTTGAGAAATGAAGAAATTGAAAGGGTATGATGCAAACGAAGGTGTGGAATAAGTTCAACTATCAGCTTGAATCGCTAGGTTATGCTGTTTTCTCGGTTTCCTTCGCTACTATTGATTCTTGTGGATCATAAGTTCAAAACAGTTTATTTTTCTGTTTACAAATGAACAGAAAGTAGAAGTAATTAAATAACTTCTATATTCATTACGATAACTTAATAATGCAGGCAACTCAACGTCAGAAAAATTCATTTGTATTACTTCAGGACCCTTAGGATCGTGCCAGTATGGTAACAGTAGAAAAAAAAAACAAGAGGGAACTCTCAATAGCCGCAGAACTTGAAATTGTTTTAGGCAGGATTGGAGTAAATTAATCTACAAGACTTTTTTATCCTTTTCATTAGCTATATTTTTGTGCGCCAGCAATATCAAGCGTGGTTCGCGCGTATACCCGATTCGATTTTATTACTCATCAGGATCTCTACCAGCTTACCCTCAAATTGAAATTATTTTAGGCAGGATTAGAATAAATCAATCTATGAGACCTTGGGCGTGGTCAATACATCAATCGAAAGGGTTTGACCTCCTGAGTTCAAAACTGTAATTTGATATCAAATCGCTCAAGAGATGATGGAGCTATGAGCTAAAAATTTGTACTTAAAAAAGAAAAACATACCACACACACACACACACAGAACCATGAGCCGCGGTTAAAAATACTGGCAAAATTCATTAAACTAAAGCTATTTGTTGCACTTACTCTTTTTGCGCAGTCATATTTCGCAGATTATTAAAAAAAATAGGAAGTGTGTAGGTTTTAAAAATTCATTGTGTTATTATTTACACTGACTAAGTGTTAAATGAAACAAAAATTACATTAAGGAACTAGAAACTAAACATACTGACAGAAGATTAACTTTCATATAATCAAAAAAAAGAAGAAGAATAAGAAGAAAGAATTAATGAAATCTATGTGTAGGAAACAATTTCACCGACACTACAGTGACACGTCCGTTATGTTAAGGTAGAAATTTGAAACAGGATATTTCGTATCACTAAATAAAAGAGGGAGGGGCTTCAATTTCATACAAGTCCTTTTTACTGTCACTGGCATGGAACCAAGTACAAAAAACGTTATACGTTTTTTATTGTTGTTTACTTATCTTTTAAGTATCCACCCTTTTATTATTTGACATAACCTGAGCATAACGCGCAATCCTGCTAAAGATTTATTACAAAGGAATGGAGTCCACACAGGTTCATATTATACCTACCAGTTTCTCATTACACAGCCATAACAATGTGTATGATTACACACCATAACTGCGAAATGTTTTTACTGCTGTCACGAACTTAAGATGTTTGAAAACACAGATTTTATATGCAAGCAACCACACACAATACTTTTCATCAAACTTCTTAATTATCTGCTTCTATACTAGCAGACAAATTATTTATGCCGGTAAGAGAACAAAAGCTTACAAACACAGGAATACAGGAGGTAGTTGGAAAATTAAACCCTATGTAGAGACACCCAAGGTTTTCAGTCATTACAATAACTGAATACTGTTAAATACAACGTACATGTTCTTTCTTCTTTTTTTTACTTTTCCGCTGACATTCAGATTTTGAACATTAATTTAAGTGCACATTTTCCTTCAAGTTCTACTCTATTGTGTTACAAGGTCAAACTCGGGAGAGGAAACTGTACAGGGGACACTTGTAGAAAGTTGAACTGGTCTTACCTGTTTCTCCTTTCCATTTGTTGTGATAAGAAGTTAGAATAATAGTTCTCAAGGTGCAACTTAGCCTTGTTGGCCTTGTCCAGTGTATGACCACTGAATCTGACCTGTCCACTGTCAGTGGTAGCCATCTTTGCTCGATAATTTTTCTGCAAGAAAAAATAGCACTAATTACTATGTACAAGTACTCTTATACGTATATTCTTACACGTAGTAACAACTGTCACAGACGTTTTAATACAACAATTATATAATCTACACGGCCCAGATTTTAGTAGGTCACTTAAACTTGTTGAAAGAAACAACAATGACCTTATACAGCTTATTTACATATCATCTACACTTTAATATTCTGATGGACTCATAATAAACAACTAAGTTCGTTATTCTAGCGAACTTGTTAGTTATTGAATTTGAAATGCTTTAGTGGATGATTCAGAGACCATGTTTGAGCGAGTATAAAATAATTTCTTTCATTAGACGTAACAAGTAATAAACTGTTAAACGTTAAAACGAGAAACCTGCTTGGTGAACTAGTAATTAGATAATTTTAAAATAGCACTGGAAGGCAATTAGTTCAAATAGCACCACTGAATAAAAAAACAGTACACTATAAATCTTGGAATCAATGATGCAGAAAAAGACCAGAAAGGTAAAGAAATTGCTTTATAAAACTCCACTCCCCTTATACTCCCGCGAACAATATTAACACTGGGAATTGCTTGACAAAACTCCACTCCCCTTATACTCCCGCGAACAATATTAACACTGGGAATTGCTTGACAAAACTCCACTTCCATTATACTCCCGCAAACAATATTAACACTGGCATGGCCCATGTCAAAGCATTGCTTTGAGTTTCTTGTTTAAGAATCATTGTCAAAACCTTAAAACTCCAGAGTTTTCAGTTTTAATTACCTGGTGATGCTCTACTCAAAACGAAATAAAATCCTTCAGAGAAACTAACAATATTTGCTCGGAAGTTTCAAATTTATCATTTACCTCTTAAATATATTCCCCAATTCATTACTACTTGTGGTACTCGTTTCCTCCACAGTAATACGTTATAGAATTTTATACAACAAAGGACGAACAGATGCAATCTATAAAAATACATAAATAAAATTAAAAACTTTCAAGCTGAATTTTAAAGAAAATTTGACAATCCCGCAAACACTTAAAAACTTTTTTAATACTTAACTGCTTCCATCCTTTTTCATTATTCAAGTAATACACACTAAAAATAAGTTTTAATCGAAAGGTTCACTAATATTGCTACAACTTGGGGACGTGTTTTACTCACAAGTTTTACAAGTTATTTTGCACTCAGCTGTGAAACTATTTCTAAGTTTAACCTACGACATTCTGTCCATTTCTGTTGGATTAACGAAAATCATATTATTATCTTATTAAAATATCAAATATGACCTACCTTAAAAATAATCTGACTGTCCCAAAACGTAATACAAATATTAACAATAGTTTTATGATCAATGTTATATTTACACTGACACTCAGATGAAGAATAGTTTCGAGAAGTTATTTACTTAACAATAACAAAGTGAAAAAGCGCCTATCGTTGTACACTTTCGTAACAAATATAAACCTGGCGTCTAATATTTCCATGGAAGCAGTGCAAGACGGACAAATCCACTGCAAGAAACGCAATACGTAATATTGCCGTCTGGCTCACCACTGACAACACACGCGCAACTTAAGGATCAGACTACTTTCAGATTAGTAAATACTTAGATTTTACGCCACCCGGCCATATCATTATAAAGAAAACGGAAAGATAAAGAAAACATCGGTAATTTACAGACACTTTTAAAACCTTCTGTTTATGTTGGCTTGAACACATGGCGCCACAAAAAGTAGTTTCGGCGCCGTGACGTACATGACGTAATCGACTCAGTCACGTTATTCACCCTTCCTGAAACAGAACCGACCATACAGGTGATTCAACCCTCCTTACAGACTACAGAACAGGGGCCGTTAACTAATGTACAACACACAAGAAATACAATATTTGGTTTTTCATTCTTCAACATAATATTGATAATTCTTAATTATGTACTTGGTAATAATTAGACTAAAAGGCTATGTATTAACATTAAATAAACATTATATTTAAGATATTACTTCAAATGTACATCACTATTCACATTGTGTTGCTCCTACATATATAAAGTCCTTAAAACGTACATGATCCCGGAAACATACTGCTTAGCCCGTGTGACAACCATAAACAATATCATAATACAGAAAACAATGTTCAAGTGTGCTGAGGATACACAGATAATCCCGGAACTTCATGTCGATCTATTAGAATCGCTAGCAAGTGAAATTGACGAAAACAACATGTTGAAACACGGAAATAACGAACTCCAGCTTTAAGTGAAACCTACCATGTCTTAGATATTTATGACGGATGAGGCTTCAGTGTTTAGCCCAAATAATATATGGCGAAACTTTACATGGATGAGGCTTCAGTGTTTAGCCCAAATAATATATGGCGAAACTTTACATGGATGAGGCCATACTGTAGACTAATAAATGGTTAACACGAACATAGAAAACAAAGAATACAGTAGGTGGAAAGGAATCAGGGTTTGCACACACTGGATCCGTCCACACTGATTTATTAACAAGTCTAGTCAAACTAATACTTCCGTATATGTTTACAGACGGAGCTAGAACCAGAACACGTCTGTTCCTGTCATACGATTGTGATATTCGAGTACTCTGATATCTCTCAGAAAAAATAAAATAAGTGTGGTATTCAGGTACACTGTTCTGCAACACAAAAGTTCAAGAAACCACAAAATGGATTCCGTAAATGTTATGAACATGATTAGCAAAATAAAACAGTATTTTGATTGACATTTGTGTAAACGAGTCTTTTACTTGACTGGAGACTTCCGTAAACTCCGTCTGGTTTTGGAAAACGTTTAAAGCTGCTGGTGTTAAAAACTTCTGTGGTAGATACAGTCCATAGATCTCCAACCAAGTACAGTCTTCTCTGCCTAAACTTTCTCTTAAACAAGACTCTTATTTATTGGGCAGCTTCTTACTCTCAGTAAAGTTGTAACTGGCTGCTTGGGTGAAGAGAAATTTACTATAACGTCCTTAGATGGTAAAGACGGAATCAATAATCATGAAATACGAAACTTTGGAATCAAACCAGCAGGATCCATAATCTTTAGATTACCAATGCCGATAATAATTCAAAATAAGTATATACAAATGAGATAAGCCCTAAACTCATATTGACTTGTACAAATCTCTATGTCACCATTTGAAACTAACTTAACACCGATCCTCTGCATGCAGGACACCTGTAGGAAATTTTAGAAAACTTATCTGAATATATCAAATAGCAATATATCATACATTAGATATAGATAAATAAAACATGATGACATTAATATCATCATAGTCTCCTCTTCTCTTTGATAGGATCTTACCTTAAGAAAGACATTGAATTGTTGGAAAGTATTAAAATGACATCTACTGGGTTTGATGTACGGGTATTAAAGGTTGCCATACAAAGAAAATTTAGATCGTTGAAAACAAAAAAGAGTTAAGGGATCTAATTTAGATGTTCAAAATGATTAGAGCCGATAGTATCAATGCATCATCTTTTTTCACATTTAATGGTGAGAATGGTAGGGCAAAATGGGCAGAAATAAAATTTTTCATCTTCAGCTTAGACAGTTTTAGGTTTTTAACAAGGTGTTTGGCTTTTGGATGTGGCAGATCCAGTAAGTTTAAGGAAGTTTAAATGAAGTCTCAATTAATATCTAACTGAGCAGGATTGGATTTGGGTTTGCTTTATTTATTTTTGTTGATGTTTAAATGTGGATGGGACATTCTATTGGACCAGCAGGCTTGTTCTTAACCTGTAAATATTGTATGTTATGATGACACAACACAAAGTCATATCAACTTACACATAAGTTCACAAATTCACTCGGAAAGTTTTTCCAGCAAATGACTGTCAACATTAACCACTGGCATGTCAAAGATCCCAGTCCACACTGACAACTGGCACCAACCATAAATTACCCTAGGAACATCTCTAACAGCCTCATATGTTCAAATTATGTATCTGGTGGGTCTTGCACAATCTACTCTGCAGAAAGTTTGCTACAACTCAGCTAAGTAAATCAAGCAATTATTGCATGACATCAAAACAATGTCTCACTATAACATATTCCTCAATGTCTTAGAAAATAACAGTTATAACACCCTTTCATTGTGTATCTTGATGCTATTTTGCCATGAACCACCAGTTGATAGCTCAAAAGGCATTTCATTTTCAATCATCCTATTGTCCTTACTGCTGGTCTAGCAGTTAATTCCACTCTTAATAATTCAGAGGTCCTCACTGATATCTCAACCAATAAGCAGAGTAGACAGGCTGCTTCTCTACTGGTACTACCTTCTTTTGCTCCCCACATTCAGTCACAAATATACTGCCAGTTTCTTTCTCATCCTCAGTTGAGATGATATAACATAACATAGAACTCTCGTCATAAGAGTAAACTTTTTGTTACCTTTAATTCTTCAATTAAACAATTCTCTGAAGAATCACCAAAGATATACAAATGAAGCTTGTTACTGTATTTCATATATATATATACACACTAAACAACTGATGTAACTCATACTTCATGTCATTGAACTAGCAACAGACAGGATACATACAAATCAATCCAGTCATCAGGCTCAAACTTTTGTTTTGTTCTGTTACTGTTTTGCATTAACATCTTCTTCGAAGTTATGCCACTATGCCCACTTGCAGATGCACAAATCTATGTGCATCAATTGTGGAATATCTACACTTAGCACTAAAGTGGACTCACATCATTCATATGTATATGTTGGCATGTGATTGTTGTACAGTCCAATCAACCATCTAGTCCTAGAAACATGTCAGTAAAATCCTTAATAAATTCACTCAGTTTGTGTCTTTGTGTCAAGTTCAAGTTGTTAACACAATCCTTAACTAAAAATGTAATACAATGGTAACAACAGTACCTATTCAGCTTGACTGCAACACTTCTGCTTCTGCTACCATGCCAGTGACCATTCTAGCTGGAAGCTGAATAGCCAAATGTTCAGAGTTACATGCTTGCATTATTGCAACACCAACATTTGGACAGATCTTTGTTTAAACAAATGTAGCCTGCTTTCCAGACAGAAAACAGTGTTTTATGTATGGTTCTATTGCTACAGGTAACAGCAACAATGTGCTAAACTGTCTCCATAGTTCACCATGAAACACCACTTGCACATTCAGTGGTATAATCACCTATATTCCAACATGTATGCATGCAGTTTATGGTTTTCTGGCCCAAACTGATCAACATTGGATGGTTTTATCACAGAAATAAAATCAACTCTTGCATAAACAAAACTGGTTGATATTCTCTACAGTAGGTCATTACCTAATGCCTAAACCCTTCTTAGAAACAAGTACCCCTTGTTTCATGCACTACACTACCAAAACAAAATCAGACATTCCCCTCTACTTATGTTTAGCTTGTTACCATTTACCAGAATAATTTTTGTGGTAATGTACTGTCATGGTGGCTTTCCATAGAGTCACTGATGCACAGTAAGATTTTGATAGATCCAAGTATATACAAAAAACTCGACTTTTTGTGTCCATGTATTGTGACTGATACATTACATATGATACCCTGTCCATCTTTCTCCAAAACAGCCACCACAAACGTAGGTACAAACTGCTACCTGCAATCACTTGAGCTAGTGAACATATACAACTTAGGATCCCTAGCTTAAACTAGGCATAATAATTGCAGTCATAGTTGATTAGCGACCTTCCTGTGTTTGTTATGGCATTGACTGAAATGGTACTCATGTCTGATAGTCCCTTCTTATGAAAGAATGAAGACATTTTCAAAACCATTGGACATGTAAGTTGCAGTTGGAAAAGGGATTCTTTCCCTTGCACTTTTATGCCTCTGGGAGTTCAACTCTGGTTGCACTTCATTGCTCAATTCAACATGATAATTTCCAACTGTGTTGTCCGCCTACCTCTCTGAGAAATGTCGTAAAACCAATGTGGTGATGCATGAGTCTGCTCAGCAGCTTCTCAATAATCCTAGCAATGAGTACCTCATCATGATTACCAGGAAATATGGTCATGAGTGCCTTTCATTTAACCTCTTAAATCATTCATGTAAACAGCTAAGTTATCATGGAGCTCTTGCCTTCAATCTTTTAACTCTGCCCTATGAACTGTTCGATTCTCCACTGGGTCAAAACTCCAGAACAACACATTGACAAGTGTGTCCCGGTTATCAAGTTGCTCCTTGTCCATGTGTCCTAGGGTGTTGAGCATCAGTCTGTCTAATCTCAGCATCAGGCACTGCAAAATTTGCAACTTATCATCAGACATCGCATCTCCTGTTCCTAAGCTCAAACTTTCCAAGCAAAAACATTAACATTATAATTAGGTGATAGTACAAATATGTAATTGCAACCAACTTTTCTGTGGCTACAGCACTGCGCGTATTTGTGATATTTCTCATATCCTTTCAAGATTCTGTAAAAGATATGTATATCCTGATGAATATAGCATTATCAAGGGAAAATTTGTAAAGAACACCACAATACATAAAAGACCACTCACTGTCTCATTCTGCAATGAGCTCAGCTGCTAAACATGATCTCAGTCTCTCATTG